TGACCACGCTGTTTTTACACTGAAAAGGGGTGGAGGGGTCAAAAGAAACAGAGAAGTAGTGGTGCCTGGGTAAGGAAAGAACCCATTGAACTTCCTGCACAGACTGTCAGTCCAAGTTGTGAAAACCTGTCCATAAAGGACTCCTCTTTCCCAGGCTTTGCTCCTATTGTCAGGGCATTCCCTTCACAAACAGGTCTGCTGGTTCATTTTTCCAGCTATCTTGTCTTAAAAGAAGCATTCTTTTCATACATAAGCAAGTCAAACTTGGCTCATCCAGTGAAGCACAGTGCAGACATGCCCTTTGATATGCTATTAACCTCTGCTGGCACCACTGCCAGCACGTAGGAGACCACGTTAAGCCAAGCAGCTTAGCTCTGCTTTCGAGTACCACTTTGAAACCTAATGGGACGTGATCAAAACTAGTTGGCAATTCCTTTGCCCTTACACCTCTAACATCTATACCTGGGCACAGACTTAGTTTTGCTAAATCTCGAGAAGACCAGCTCAATGCAAAGATGATTTCTTGTTAAGTTGAAAGACTATCAGAAGCAAAGTGGCACCTCTGACCATTTGCACTGCTCTGTCCCAACATTTCTCCATATACAGAGTGAGGCTGTGGGAAAACAGAACAAATAGCGGCCCACCAGAAGCAAAGCATCTTGACTGCTCGAAGCTACTGCAATTTCTTGGCAGGCAATAAAAAAGGCTCAGAAGAGTGACTTGGGCTTTTCAGGGAGAAAAAGTGAGCCTGGACAAGATCAAACAGTATCAGAAAGGAAAAAGGCTATTACACCAAGAGGAGAAAGGAGGGAGGTACAGCTGGGAGAGGCACTGCGGAGAGCTGACCTGTCAGTCTGAAGGTGACTCCAAACCACCCAGTGGAGAAGCAGGGCCCAGCATCCAGGAAAACTGGTCGCACACGTAGTTGATGAGGTGGGCAGTAAACCAGCAATTCTTAAACAACAAGGGGTGTGTACACCTGCACAGGGAGGGTACTCATGCAGAAGATACATTTGGGAGCAAAAGTCTTGAGAAATGTTAAATACAGTCCAAGAATATTTAGTTGGTTTTTTGGGGTTTTTTTGCTTCCTTACACCATATAAACTCCTTGGTTATCCATAATCCATACATATTAGAGGTGATGAACTAGGAAAAGCCAACCAAAATTAACGCACTCTCCCACATCCAACAGGGCACATATTTGTGGGCAATTACCTGAAATTGGTAGATGACACTTTTTGCACGTTCACAAACAGCAAAAACGTATTAGATTGCAACATTTTCAAAATAATTGAGGTTTAAAGCATCTTCCACTCCTCAAGTGGAGTTTGTACAGCAATACTGCATTGCACCCAGTTTTTTCTACAATACATAGCATGAAATTGCCCAAATTGAGATCCTCGCAAATAGCAAAGAGCAGAATTTGTACTGGCATGCATGAACTACCTTTGATGGTAGTTCTCTACCTTGGAAGAAAGGCATCAGGACATTGAAATTTTGTACTTCTTTGGGTCAGCTAGCAGTTAAAACTTGCTGTGGAAATGTTCACTAACAGTGCTGTTGCCAGTTGAAATCTTTAATAAAGATACCATTATCTTTTTCTAAAAATAATGTTGTAGATATTTGAAAAGGAAGGACCCTAACCAGCTAGTGTTATCTGAACAGCGCATTCATCTGTTTCAGGGCTATTTTCCCCATGCATTGACAAGAACTTCTAAATAATTAGGTATTTGTACAATAAACAGGTCTAAGATGATTCTAATCACTGTTTTAAATCTCCAGGTATTTTAGGCATTTTAATGTCACCATCTGCTATCAGACACCCGACATGGACGTCGTGTTTGTATTTAGTTAATCCTAGTGTTTGGAGGGCCTGTTACAGTTCCTTTTATATTTAGGCAAGCGCCTACATTTTTGGTGGGGTACAATAATCAAGATTAGCGGGCTAGAGAATAATAGCATGCAAAGTCAATGCTTACCCAGCCCGCTTTGTTCTGCATGACTGACCTTAATACCCTGTACATCCACAGCTCCAGACTGTGTGTGTCAGGAAGACGTCAGAGCAGCAGGTCGCTCGGCTTTGTTTCAGTCAATCACACAGCAGCAACAACTGATACTGTATGAAGAGCTTGCAGCAAAGTTATCTAAATGCTTAGAGAAGAAATTCATTAAAGATTATCTTTCACACACTTGAAAAATAAATTCATACCTTTATCTACATGGTACAGGGAGAGTAATTTTCTACATATTAGCACAATAATCACCAGAGGAGTAACTCCTTGCCCGTACTGCTTGTTCATATCACTTCAGTATCTCGTAGTCTCGAGAATGCACATTTTAAGCTTTATTTTTCTATCCTGTATGTTTTCCTTTATACCGTACATATTGGAATCTTAGTCACTACCTCTTTTTCATGCACTAAACATATAGGACTTTTATCACAGCAAATCGTAGCTACTAGCACACACAGCAAAAGCAGCATCAGCCAACACCACTTCCACTGAATTGTCAGTCATTTCTCAACAGCTATGTTATAGACCTTTGGCCTAATCTAAGCAAAAAGGTTGGGCATCTCTGGGTTAAAATGAAAACATGTAGTAAGAGCATGTCTTTACAGAGCAGGATGCCTATCCATGTGAGTAAAGAAAAAAAAAATCACCCTTCTTCAACAGCTGAGAGGATTTATTTTGGCTATAAAAACTAGGATCTTAATTTTATTCCCTTTTCTGAACTAGGATCTTAATTTTATTCCCTTTTCTCTTCATAAATATAAAACCCAGTCTTGGACCAATACAAACACTACAGAAACTTAATATTACTTAACTCCTGTTTTACTCTTTACGTACTTTCAGATGGCTAATTGTTTAAGATGAATGGGTTTCACATTTAAACACAAGTTTTACACACTGACGTTGTACAAACTGTCAAAGCAAAAAATAAAAAAAAAAAATCACAAAAATCACTGATATCTTACAGTAAGAGGGCTTTTGAGCATATGAATACATGGCTAACCAGGGAATGCATAATTCTGCAGTGTTTTTCCACTTGAACAACTCTCGCTTTTCCTGTAAGGCTTCTTTCGGTAAAGTCATCCTATACAATGTTCATCTAAACTGGGGAAAAAAAAAAAGAAAAGAAACCAAAATTGTCCTTTGAACAGCCTTGTTTCTATTTGGTCCACTTTCTAGGATACTGTTCTTGCTTGACAGGATTTAAAATCCTCTCAGTTTCAGATGTTCTCGCAATTCCTCCACTAGAAGGGAGCTCAACAGCAGGTTCAAGAGCTCATCCCTCTGAAACCACTGGTGGCCTAATAAAAAAAAGGATAACAGACTCCAGAGAAGGTATTCATCCCAGATACTGTTCTAGCTTGACAGGATTTAAAATCCTCTCAAACAGTTTCAGATGTTCTCGCAATTCCTCCACTAGAAGGGAGCTCAACAGCAGGTTCAAGAGCTCATCCCTCTGAAACCACTGGTGGCCTAATAAAAAAAAGGATAACAGACTCCAGAGAAGGTATTCATCCCAGACTAACTCATTCACACCTATTGTTCCATCTAAATTTCATTGACACATCTGCCCCAATCATCTTATCTCACTCCCTTCTATTTGTTGCAAACACAGGGAGAAGGCCATCATAAAATGTGATCAAACGCCTTTAGCACAGCTCGGCTTCTCCAACATAAGACATCACCTTCCCTTCAGCATCCTGGTGAAGCAGTTGCAAAGAACTACCTTGACAATGCTATTTAAAATAATGTTGCTTTCAGAAAGGACAGTGTCCATTTACAAATCTCAGCAAAAGTGAGGTAAAACTAGTTCCAGATTTGCACTCTAAATCTGCTGCCAAACTAACTTTGGAAATATACGTACTATGGCTTCACAGAAGTCAAGTACCTGATTAACAACAGGTAGAACCAATACCTCTCAATAGTACTGCATCTGCACTTCTCAAAACTGGAACATTAATTACATTTTCATTATTAGTTGAACTAGAACAAAACTGATGCACATGAAATACATGTGCAGTTGACACCTCCACCTGCACAGCCTGAAGAGAAATCAACACTCCCAATCCCCCAGAGCTTTGCAATACAGGTAAGACACGTAAGCACTTACTTTAATAAATAATAGGGTTGGACATGGGGCTATAAACACCAAATAGAGCTCTCCCTTTGATCTCTATAAAATATTTCAGGAAATCTCCCAAAAGTGAGTGACAAAAAATATTACAAAACTGAACTTCAAAGACAGCACTTTTCTCCAATTATAAAAATACTAACTTACTTTTCCCTTTGAGCTAAACTTAGCTACTTTTATGCAGGATGAGTAGCTCTACTGTGTGTTCACAGTCTCATTACCTTGTTACTTTAATTGCTGAGCTAAATTTACATTCAGCAAATTTCACACTTTCTTGAAAAAGAGAGGAAGAAAATGGCAGGGACTTAGCAACAGACATAAACATAGGACTACAAAATCCACTCTGTATTTGCAACTTGCTGTCCCTCAGCTAAGTCAATGATGAATACTTTTAAAGTTTTCTTCAGATTTTTGTATTTAATAGTTTTCAAAAAAAATCAACACTCTAATTGTATTCAACTGTACAGAAAATTTGTAGGAAATAATGTCCAAACAGATCTGTCTTCACTGTAATATTAATTTAATATCTATTGTTCATTATTCACATTTATATGCAAATACATGTGATATTACTCTGACATGCAGATGGCCGAGAGGCAGCTGCTTCGAAAGACTCATTCATGCATCTTAAGCCACTCTGACCAACTAGTGACAGAAGATTTCTTGATCCAATATGTATTCCTTCAGGGGAAGATGGTGAACATTTAAATGGTTTGTTCTGCTGCATGTTAAACTGGTCACTGTTTTGGCCACCTCTCTCTTTCAGATTTTGTTGCATAGGAGAAAAGCCTTCTGTGCAGCCTGCTGTCTTTAACACTTGTAAATGCAAACAGTTGTTTTTCTGTTCTTTAAAGACTCTTCTTCTTGCTTTTCTGTTCTTCCTTAAGGTCTTTTGCATTGCATCTGGATCCCAGTGCTGTTAACATTTCTACTGTTGTCAAATTGGCTCCCTTCATTATCAATCGATCTCCATCAGCTGTAAAGAGAAAAGAATTTAAGAAGTCACAGAGTCTAAGTCACAATTACTTTAGTGTGCAGTGTTTTGTATATATAAATCAAAATTCCCTGCTCATCTTGTCTGATTATAAAGTATTCCACTTATCAAGGAATCTGATTATGCAGCACCAACAAACAAGTATATTAAACACAATACACATGTAACTTTCACTTCTGTATTGTGTTACGGAAAAATCTGAAACATTTGTCTAAATATACCTATAAAAAGAACACATATTTGATGACAATGGCTCATACTATGCCCTCAAAGTCATCTAACAGAAGGCACAGAAGGCACTGGAAGGCATCATTTCCACACATGGCTCAGCATTTTAGCAGCATGTCATCTATGGTCCGTTTACCTTACTTCTTTAGCCAAATCAATGAATTGGTTTACACAATCTGGTGGTTATGTAAAAACATAGAGAGCACTAGGATTTCTAAAATTCTGAAAAATTATTTTAAAACAGGGAGGAGGCAGTAAAAGTTAAGTCTTGTATCTAAATTAATAATTTATTTTGCAAGATTTGCAAATACAAAAGCCATACTCAAACCAATATAATACAATAACATGGTATCCAAGTTCCAGCCCCGTGTCTGCCAACTACAAGGGCTGCAAACTCTTCGCTTGGAAAATAATCACTTCTTAGAAGAGTTCAGAGCTGTAGCTCTTGGCATTAGTGAAATAAATTGTTTTGGTTTTACACTGTGAAAAACACTAAGCTTTACTGCTTAAGTCTTAATACACCACAGTTAGAGACAAGGATGGGAAAGTCAGAGACGTGGGGGAGGGAGAAACAAGCAATGTCAGCACTAAATAACTAGACTTTCCTAAGCAAAACAAAGTACATTCAACACTCTTGACATTTCTACCGATTCACTAAATATATGGAAGTTAAAGAAAAGGGAGTAGCAAGAATCAATAATAATGAAAACTTTAATGGGCTACATGACATACCGGTCCATTACAGCGCAGCAGGAAAGAAGATGCAGCCAGAGAAAAGGACAAAAGCAGATTAGAGCCATCTGTTCACAGCCTAGAATCTGGGCCACTTCCACAACTGATGAAATTTCCACCACCAATTCCCTGCCTGCTCACTATACCCTCAAAGGAAACCAAAGAATTTGTTGTACATGAGTTGACCTCATTCTGCAAGTCCATCTGCACATATATGATCTTATCCATGAGCAGCTCCTTCAAGCTGCACAGTAAATTACTCAGTTGCATCAGCAACTAAAGGTATTCCAGCTTTTCTCTTCTCAAGACCGAGATGCCTCCACCACAGATAACATTTAAAAATTATAGAAAGTGAAGAGATACTTAAGTCAAAACAGAGCTACACTTACTTCCCTGGAACTGTACCTGACTGCAAGGTCACACAAGTATGTCACGCAAGTATGTGAGGGAAATTGTGGATGCCCCATCCCTGGAGGTGTTCCAGGCCAGGCTGGATGAGGCTTTGAGCAACCTGGTCTAGTGGAGGGTGTCCCTGCCCATGGCAGGGGGGTTGGAACTCAATGATCTTTAAGGTCCCTTCCAACCCAAACCATTCAATGATTCTATAAGTACAAAAGTAGACTCAACCCTAAAATTAAGTCAGCTGATTGATCTAACATCCACCAGATCTAACTGTAGTATGAAGATATATATATGCATTTATCTAGACAAGTTGTTGGCGATGCCCCTGCCCTTCTTTTCTCCCAGCTGCATATCTAGCTATGGACCAGAACAAAAAAAAAAAAAAAGCAACCACAGTAGAAAAAAAAATCATAGGGAAGACAATAACATCGTAACAACACAAACCCAGAGGTCTCTTTTTTGTCAAGATTAAAAATGAGCTCCTTACCAAACATAACATCTACAAGTGGTTCAGATCCATCATGTCTCACATCAGCAGTCACTTCACAGTTCCTGTTAGTGGCTTGGATTTTTTTATGGTTTATACGCAACCACAGTAGAAAAAAAAATCATAGGGAAGACAATAACATCGTAACAACACAAACCCAGAGGTCTCTTTTTTGTCAAGATTAAAAATGAGCTCCTTACCAAACATAACATCTACAAGTGGTTCAGATCCATCATGTCTCACATCAGCAGTCACTTCACAGTTCCTGTTAGTGGCTTGGATTTTTTTATGGTTTATACATTCAAGAAATTTTCTGAAAATATATTTGAAAATATATCAAGTATGTTGTAGATAGAAATTACAGTAAGTATATTTCTAAAACTAATTTGAATACCTTGATATTGCTGGGGAACAGAAGTATAAACAAAATAGGATTTGTATTTAATAATTTCATACAGGTACTTCTTATGAGATAATCACTCTTAAAAATCCAAATGGATACTCCTTATATGCTAACATGTAAAAGGCATGGCAAAGAATTTTGCAAAAATACAGTGTATGCACTTTCTGTGTTTCTCTCAGCTGTGTTAGTAACAATAATTTAAAAAAATATCAGAAAAGTAATTTTTATTTTTCTTTATACACCGGTTGCTCATCAATGTTTTATTGTTTGGGTTTGAGACAGCATTTATTTATTTAACTTCATCAGTCTCCTGCAGATTTCTGAAATGCATGACAGCTACTTGACATTCTGTCAGCTTAGAGACATTCTAAGCTAAGTTGTGTTACTAAATTAATTTCATAAGTAGATGTATCTATAAAGTTATTGCAAAATTATATTTTACACTTGTTTGGTGAAGAACTTACATCATTCAAGAAGCATAATTACTTAGATTTCTCCAACAGATAATTGCCAAGATAGAGCAGCAGCTGTTGCCTCCTCTCTTTCCCATTACCAGCATTTGGACTAGTGATTACATACCCTCAACTACAGGCTCAGCAACTGAGAGGGGCATCTCCCAAGGTAGTTTGGTAAAGCTAAACACACACGCCTACATGCAAGAGTCTATACTTAGGCACAGAGATCCTCCAAAATTCAGCACAGAATGCATGCAGCATGCATCTTGGTAACACTTCGCATAAACAGAGCTGTTATGGCAAACAGAGCAACTTCTCACTCTTAAACACTGAGGTTCTGCCTAGACTAAGTTACAAAGCCCTGATAAAATGCAAGCCTTCAAAGACTCATGAAAGCTAAAGTACAGCGGATACAGAAATTTGGGAAAAGGCGGTTCTTCCCCAGAGAGGGGGCAACACATGCTGCCATTTTCCTCGTTATTTGCTCCCAGGACATCTCACTTCTGCTGGCTACAGTGACAGCAAGTCACAGGGCACTGCAGCGACTGCCGTTTGAACGGCTCCCTGGGGCATCTGCCACCGCTGCGACCCTGGCAGCAGCCGGCTGGGGCG